TAAATTGTAGTTTCGAGAGTTAAAAAGTTTCATAGATATTACTTAGAAGAATCATTAAAAATATAAACTAATACCAAATGCATGCACTTACCTTATAAAAACATTCACAAACATGAGTGGGTGATATGAGCAAATACAAACTATCGATAAAAGGTACAATTCTTTCATTTTCAGAGCCTGTTTTGGTGACACATGAAGTTCAACATCACCATCAGTGTGCGGTTGTTCGATATCAACGTTCGCATGAACTGAATCTTCTTGCAATGTTGGGCATAGTATTTCGTTATTTATTGTTATTGTACAGTCCACGTCTTTCGTAATTGGTCCTCTAAGTTCATTGCTACACGATTGTCTTGACGTTTGGTACACAATAGTTAATTCACTGGATTTTGTTTCTTCCTGTGTTAGAAAAAAATACTACAATAATTTCTTAGATATAGAAACAGACAATACTATATAATGGAACATAGATGTACCATCTTTTCTGACTTTTATTTTTAATTACCTGACTAAGCAGTCATCTTAAACAACACTATTTTCTTAACAAACACCATAGTTTGTTTATATTAACCTCTGGCTAAGCTTCATTAGATCCACAATGTTGTAATTTCATCAATGGTTCTATTTAGTTGCATAAACATCTGTCTTACCATTCTTTCTTTAAGCGTGTATCCTGAGATGTAAAGATTTCTTTTCAACAATACAGTAACACTACATTTATTACCAGAAGAAGCGTTAATGTTGGAGAAAAAACAGCAAAATAAGTATTTTTAAAAACACCCTATTTAGAACACACATTTCATACTTACCACTATTTCACAAAATTCCTACGGTCGTTCGAAAAAGTATCGATAGGATTAGTGAAGCGTTTCAAACAAAGTAATACAAAACAAGCTAAAAACTTCTACTGCCATCTTTTGGTATAATAATAAGCTAATTATCTTCCAGGTTACTGATCTTTATATATTTATCAAACATCTAGGTTTGTATTCATTATCTAACCGAGATGTATCTAAGCAGAAATTAAAAGATCCAGTTCTGAAATAACGTAGTTTTATAGAACATACTATTATTAAGAAGATATATCTCCAGTGGTTTAAAATGTGTGGCTGCAACTGAATTATTTGTTAAATTTTGTTGAGTTGAGATTCACCATATGTTTACACAAACCTTATTATTCAGACTAAATTAACAACTTGATTTAACGAAAACTGGCGCTAGTATATAAGTCGGACTTATTTGGATGATATAATGCGAATTGACATTGAAGTGTAAAAAATCATTAATAAACTTTTCAATTCAATTCCTCTAACCTGGTTTGACTCTCGTGGTAATTCTTGGTACATAAACAGCCCAATCAGTAGAATTCCACCATTAACACTTCCCATTACCAAAAACAAAACAGGAACACTCTCTATAATTTCATCTTGTAAAAAAAACCTGAAAAAATACCAAGAGTTTACTCGTTAATGAAAAAGTAAATTGGTTTATGAATTAATTTAATACGACATTGATGATGTTGAACAGCATTAGCCCGCCTCCTAGTGGTAAAGCCTTAAGTATGTGGAATTATAACGCTAGAAACCGGGTTTCGATTCTCGTGGTGGGCAGAGGCCAGGTAGTCCATTGTGTAGATTTGTACTTATCTTTAAACAATGAAACAAACAAAAATAGTGATAGGTAAAACTCATGAGTAAATGGTAGCTTTAATGATAAAAGAACAAAATATCGTGTATAGCAATTAGTGAAAACCCACAGTAAACGGAACAAACTCACGTGAGACTGAAGAGGACGCACGAATGTGTCGAAACTAGTTTCTATAATATCAGACTTCTGACAGTTTGTTCTGTATATTGGGAATTTTCACTAAATGGTAGCTTCAGCTCCCTATGTAATATTATACTTATGTCTTTAGAATACCTTCCTACAGTTTGTTAGCTAAAACATCACTTAGCCAACTTAAATAGCTAACATTTAAAATTCCCATGGATTTAAAAAACAACAACAATGTATGACATACAGCCCTATAAAATTATTAAATACAAATGAAATCATCTTCTTATGGTTATGAAACACTTCTATGAAAAAGTAAAACAAACTAAAACCTAAGAATTTACTTTATTTATAACCGTGACTTTAGGCCTTAAACGGTATTTCTAAGGATTTTATCTTGAGTAATGTAAAAATGTAATTTCGTGTACGTTCTAAAATAAGTAACACTAATTTCAAAGAATAATGCACGGAATCTCGTGGATTGCATAAGATGACGAAATCTAGAATCTTTTCTTCCAAGATATTTTAAACATTTGTGGTCATTAGAATGAAAAAATAATTATATCTTAAAGAGAAGGAAGCCAGGATTTTGGTGATATATTAAAGAAAACGTACCTTATTTTACCAATAAGTTGGAACCAATAGTCTGTGTTTTACTTCAAGAAGCGTCACATAAGTTCACAGAAACTTGTAACTTACCCTTCAGAAGCAGGTTTGAGATTACTAGGGTTCACAAAGAATGTCTGTACGTTATTCGTCAAGAGAGGATTTAAAGCCATCCCTGAAGCCACTATCCCTGTCACGAGGCCTTTTTTGTTTGGAAACCACTTTGAAAATATTTCGTAATTTATTTTTGACTTGTCTTTTTAAACACACAAGTTAAATGTTACATCATTTTATAAACTTGAATTATATTATATGAACTACATGCTGTGTGGTCATTAGTTACAAAGGTTAAGGTTTGTATAAGCAAACACATCTAGTATATTATAGAATTATTCAAGGATTTAGAGGATAAAAAAGAAAACACGTCTAACACTAGTGACACCTGTATCAGCATTCCAAGGGAAATAAAAACTAGACGACTCTCATAAAAATTTGTACAAGTATAGCTGAACTGAAGAACTAAAAAAGTTTCCTCTGATTCGAAGATTTAAATAATTACATATTATATGGTAGTTTAGACTATATATAAATAAATGTACTTGCCTTGAAGATTAACTTTGACAGAGAGCGAGGATATGATACTTTTTAGTTGTTGATATATAATAGATAAATAATACTTTTTAAATGATCGTAAGGTGAAATTAAACATTTAAGACAGGCTTATACTTTTAGTAAATATATTTCTGTAATGAGATGTCTTCAAAATAATTCTACTCACCTCTATAGCTGTTGTTACGGGGTGACCAAAGCAACAGACAAAAGTAGCTACAATAATCACTTATGGAGTGGTTGTTACTTTGGGATAGCAGTGACGTACTGGAGTATACAACACAGCCTTGCCAAAGCTAACAGATAAATAACATGAATAAATACGCCACAATCTTATGAGCGAGAACTGAAACTCTTTAAAGATAATGAGCAATCTTGCTATATAGCTCTCGGAAATGTTAATTCACAAACCAATTCGATACTACATGATAAATTTGCACTTTTGTCCATACAGCTAATAACTTATGACTTATGTCTCGTACAACATTTATTAGAGTTTTCCAAGGTATACAACAACTCCTTTCTGCAGCATTCGTTGCTGTGGTTTTGCAGATAGTCACGTGCTATTTTTGATTTTGCACTTGTGGTAACACTGTTATCTAGTTTTTCTCCAGATTATTAATGTTTTTTTTTACAATCAGCACTCCAACAAATCATGTTTGGTTTTTGATAAACAATTAATGTAGATGATGAGTTATTTTGGAGAATGATTTTAGACAACGACGATGTTAATAACATAGTCCAATAAATACTCTAACCTCACCCAAGATATTTGG